CCATGAAAGTTAAGTTCACAGGGAAACCAATTAACCTGAAATCTAAGGAAAGACTTGCACCTTCAAGAACGGATGGAGCCGGAACACTTGTTTATCTGGAGAAAATGCTAGACTCCATACAAGCCAGGAAAGAATTCAGCTAACATTTGAAATGAAATGCTCAAGGTCAAAAGTGGGCTAGTATCAAAGTTGCAGAGCCCTGGGAGGTGCTGCCACAAGAATTCAAACTCATTTGCAGGCTCCTCTCCACAGACTTGCCAGGGACTCCAGAGGAAGATTGGGAGTAGTTAAGAAACTTCAGCACAGCCTCTCTCAGAGTAGAGGCCTTAGAGAAGGCAGCAGCAGCCACTATGGGAAAGGCATGAAGTTGATGCACAGCCTAGATTCTTCAACTCTTACCTCTCCAAAAGAACAAAAACCTTCAGCCGTAACCGGTTTGGCTCAGTGGATAGAGCATCGGCCTGCGGACTCAAGGGTCCCGGGTTCGATTCTGGTCAAGGGCATGTACCTTGGTTGCGGGCACATCCCCAGTAGGGGGTGTGCAGGAGGCAGCTGATCGATGTTTCTCTCTCATCGATGTTTCTGACTCTCCATCCCTCTCCCTTCCTCTCTGTAAAAAATCAATAAAATATATTTAAAAAAAAACAACCTTCAGGTGCTCAGATAAGGTTGATAGACTGGCTTTAGGGCACAAGTACTAGTAAAGCCCCACTGCAGCTGGAGGAAGAGAAAAGAAGAACCTTCTATCCTATTATTGGCAGGAATATATTATGAGCCCAGATTACAGAGGCCCCCTGAAGTTGGGGAAAGGGCAACACCACTAAGGGGGCCCTAACCATTGGACTCACCATTACAGAGCTTGCCTAAGACGGAAGCTGTATCAGAACAGAGAATGTCCCTCTGATAAACACTGAGTAACAAGTAACAGCAGTCTACTGCTGAGGGAAAGTCAGCAGTGCAAAGAGAAACCTTCTCTGAGACACACAGGTGCAAAGAAAAAACCAAGAGCTGAAGGTGGAATACTAACGGGGTGGGGCAAAAATAGGTTCACAAATGTTATGGAAAATAACACAATAACTAATAAATAATAATACAAGAATAAACTCTGGGTTTTGCAAACTCATAACTATAAACCTACTTTTGTACCACCCTGTATTATAAAAACAAACCGCTCTGGCAAACCAGCCCACATCTTCAACACAAAGCAGCCAGAGGGACTTGAAGCCTGTGGTACACTGAGGAAAATAGCAACAACAAAAGCCAACTCAACTCAGCTCAACCCACCAACCCTTCCCGTGCCCCACTAAAAGGCCTTGTAAAAGACAAGATGGGCCCATATGCAAGCACAAATACCATTTGCCTCAATTGCTACTGTCCTAAACAAGATGTCCAAAATCCAACAAAAAATAACAAGGCACACAAAAGGCAAGAAAGAAAACAACCCACTGCCAATAAACAAGCAAACAACATAACCAGAATGAGGCAGACCCAGATATAAAAAATGTCAGGTAGGGAATTTAAGATTATTATAATATACTAGAGGCCCGGTGCACGAAACTCATGCACTCGGGGAGAGGGGGCGCCCTCAGTCTGGATTGCAAGAGGGAGCAGGCCAGGCTGAGGGACCCCATCGGTGCACGATCAGGCCTGGGGAGAGACGCAGGAGGTTGGCCAGCTGGGGAGGGACCATGGGAGGGCTCCAGGGTGTGTCCAGCATGTCTCGCTCAGTCCCGATCAGCCAGACCCCAGCAGCAAGCTAACCTACTGGTTGGAGCGTCTGCCTCCTGGTGGTCAGTGCACATCATAGCAAGCAGTTAATTGGCCTTAACGTATCATTAGCATATTACGCTTTGATTGGTTGAATGGCCAACAGGACAAATGGACACTTAGCATATTAGGCTTTTATTATATAGGATGCTAAAGTTTCTCATGGACAAACTGCAGAAAAAATGGGGAATCTCAGCAAAGAGTAGACACTACAAGAAAGGGTCAAACATAAATTACAGAAAACAAAAACATGGCAACAGAGATTTAGTAAGTTTGCTTCATTAACAAACTCAACACAGCCAAGAAACAATGAACTTGAAAATGGATCAATAGAAAATACCCAAACTGAAACACATACACACACACACACACACACACACAACAATTTGAAATCACATTATGAACCATCTTGACAGTCATGGGTCACTCCAACACAATGGCAAACACACATTCTTGTCACATACAAGGAAATCAAGATAGACCATATACTGAGTCAAAAAATAACTTGCACAAATTAACAATAACCAAAGTCATGAAACATATATTATCAGATAATAACTTGACACAACTGTTAACTCAAATGGATCATAGATCTAAATATAAAACCTAAAATATACGAGACTTTTTTTTTAAATATATTTTTATTGATTTCAGAGAGAAAAGGGAGACAGACAGAGAAAGAATCATTGATCAGCTGCTTCCTACACTCCCCCTATTGGGGATCAAACCCACAACCCAGGCATGTACCCTTGAGGGCAATCAAACCCAGGACCCTTTAGTCAGCAGGCTAACGCTCTATCCACTGAGCCAAACCAGCTAGGGCTAAGAGAAATCTTTGTGACCTTAGGTTAGGCAAAAATTTCTCAGCTACAGCACAAAAAGCCTTGTTCATAAAAAAAAAAAAATTTAAAGCTGCACTTCAGCCCTAGCCGGTTTGACTCGGTGGATAGAGCGTCAGCCTGCGGACTGAAGGGTCCCAGGTTTGATTCCGGTCAAGGGCATATACCTTGGTTGCGGGCACATCCCCAGTAGGAGGTGTGCAGGAGGCAGCTGATCGATGTTTCTCTCTTATCGATGTTTCTCTCTATCTCTCTCCCCTCCGCTCTATAAAAAAATCAATAAAATATATTTTTTTAAAAAGCTGCACTTAATCAAAGTTAAAAACTTCTTGAAACATGCTGTTAAGATCTTGAAAGGCAAATGACAGACTGAGACGTAACATTTGCAAATTACATAGCTCATAAAAGACCTTTATCCAAATACGTATAGAACTCTCATATTTTAATAGCAAGAAAACAAAGACCTTATTTATTTATTTTTAAATGGGCAAAAATGTTTACCACCAAAGAAGGTAAATAATGATATATAAACATTTGAAAATATACTTACTTGTATCATTAGTCATTAGAGAGATACAAGTTAAAACCAAAACGATACACCTCTACACACCCACTAGAATAACTATAATCTCAACAAACAAACAAAAACTGACAATAATACCAAGTGCTAACAAGAATGGGAATTTCATACTTTGCTGGTGGGAATGCACAATTATACAGCCGCTTTGAAATTCTAATTTGGAAGTGTTTTATAAAGTTAAATATATACTTACCATATGGCCCACCAATCCCATTCCTAAGTATTTTACCCCTCAAGATAAAAAATTCATATAAAAGCCTATACAGGAATGTTTATAGTACTTTATTTGTAATCACTAAAAACTGAACACAACCTGGGGAATGGATACACAAACTGTGGTACACCTTCACAATGGAATACTATAACTAAATAATAAGAACTATCAATACAACATGGATGAATCTCAAGTGCAAATGGGTATGTGAAAAAAGACAGATTAAAAATGTTACATACTGTGTCATTCCACTTCTATGACATTCTAGAAAAGGCAAAACTATAGGGGCAGAAAACAGTTCAGTAGTTGTCAGGGACTAGAGATGGAAGAAGGAGTTGACTACAAAGAAGCGTGATGGAAATTTTTGGAGTGATGAGATATTTCCTGATTGTGATGTGGTTACACACCTGTTTATGTTTGTCAAAACTCTCAAAACTGTACACTAAAATGGATAAGTTTTATTGCTTGTAAATCATAACCTAATCTTTAAGTGAAGAAAAAAAAATCACTCATTTTAAGACATTCCAAGCTACCTCATTTAAGAATTAACCAGGCTAGCCCTAACCAGTTTGGCTCAGTGGATAGAGCATCGGCCTTCGGACTCAAGGGTCCCGGGTTCGATTCCGGTCAAGGGCATGTACCTTGGTTGTGGGCACATCCCCAGTGGGGAGTGTGCAGGAGGCAGCTGATCGATGTTTCTCTCTCATCAATGTTTCTAACTCTCTATCCCTCTCCCTTCCTCTCTGTAAAAAATCAATAAAATATATTTTTTTAAAAAAAGAATTAACCAGGCTTTCTTAAATCTTTCTCAGACACCTTAGGGACCTTACCTCCAGACCAAACATCCACTGACACTGACTTTATTGAAAATAAACATGTGTTATAGTATAGCAAGGTCCAAATGAGTATTAATTGTCTGACTTGTACAAGCACTGAAGGCTCTATATTTATAGGGTAAGAGTTGGGCTTTGTACACCTTGCAAAGCTTCCATATTTTATTTAACCGATATAAAGTTTAGTATCTATCAACTCTCCTACTAGGAAGCTGGGATAAACAGGTTGTGGAAGGAAAAATATGACAGAATTGTTTAAATTTCTATTTCATCTTTGGACTTCTTCCTGATCTACAATAAGATGTACTTGCACGCAAGGAAAGTGAGAGGGAGAGAGAAATGTCAATAGGAAAGGATGGGTAATGGTGTTCATGTATCAAAACCAAACCAGATACTAAAAATAAAAAATAAAAAAATTGGCATATCATATAAAATATGCTCTGACCTCAATTACAAAATATCTATGATTTCCTAGTATGACTTAAATGTCCTGTAGTAATTCACAAAAACTTTTTGACTAAAAAGTTTCTACTTATTCAAAGGAGTTAACAAAGAGTGATATAAATGAAAATAAGAAAGCATTTGTGGTCTTTGACAAAGCACCATAATTCATTCAACAAGTATCTGAATGCTGACTATATACTTACTGATCATTGCTTAGGCACTGAGGAAGCATTACTTACACACTGCATAGTATCCAAAGCTGCACAAACAAAACAATACCAGCAAACGCTATATTTAAAGATATAACACACTCCTATATTTACCTCAAAGCCAAGTCTATCCTTTTCTTTCCAAAAGCAAAAATGTGTTACTTTCTTATCCCAGAATTCATCTGGCTTTACCACACAAACAAGGGACACCTCAGCTGGAACAACATTCTGTAAAATATAAAAAAATAATTATAAATTATACATGTAAAATGAATAGTTTATTAAAGTTATAAATTATTAGATATTCATGATTAGGCTAAGTAGTTAAGAGACCTTTGGAAAATAATTAAAATAATAAAGTAGAAGAAATACTCCAAACTTCAAAACATATATGGCAATAACGAAATACTTGAAAGACAAGCTGACTCAGAAAAGATTACAGTATTCCATTGTGAAGATAAACAGCAATACACACAGTACATGTTAGTTATTTTTGTTTCACTGAATCTCTCAAACAGGAATATGTATAGATTAAACTGCAAGACAATTTTTAGTTGGAAAATTATAAAATTTCTTTTTTCTAACCCAATTTTCTTGGAGAAATTCTTCAAATAATGTAAAATCAATTTTCTCACAAAATAAGTTTCTTACAGGTCACTATACAAAAAAGATTCTGCATGATTATTAACTTAACAAGGACAAAGCTAATCTTTGACAAATACAATTTCACATTTAATAGATATGGTTATTCATATTACCTAAAAATGGAAATTAACATTTATCCATGTATAAATATCCCATGTATATTTTATCAGCAAGCTCCTTATACATATCTTAAATTTGCCCGTTTCTATGACCTACACTGCTAATATCCCAAACTAGTCAGCCTTTGAAATATTCTCTACCTCTTACCAAGGTCTAGAAGGTCCTCCAGGGCAGTGACCTCTCAGACCTCATCTCATACCTTTCTCCTCAGCTCACTCCTCCCCCACAGTTATGCTGGCCTTGCTGCTCCTGGAATGTAAGAAGTCTATTCCCACCTCAGGACTTTTGCCTTGATGTTTCCTGTCTGGAATGTTCTTTGTCCCATATCGGAATGCTCCCTCAGTTCATATAGGATTCTATTCTAATATTCCCTCTTCACTAACCACCCCACCTAACATAGCACCACTGGCTCAGTCTCCTTTTACCACTGCATTTTTCTTCCTAGTATTTACCACTATCTGATGTTTCATTATTTAGTGATTTTCCTGCTTATTGTCTAACTCTTCCAGTAGAACATAAGCTGCCCAATGGCAGGTACCTTATCTATCATGTCACTCCTATGTGCGTGGCATATAGAGGATATTCCATATATATATATTTATTGAATAAATGAATTTGCATTAATAAGTGGCTTTCATCCTCCCAACTTTACAGAAGAATAAATTGAGCTTCAGAGAACTAAAGTAACTTATCCATAATAAGAGTTAAGTGATGGCGCTGTAATAGAAACCAGGCCTGTCTGACTCTAAAAAAGTTCTACCACACCATTTCAAATCTTCTAGACCAGGGGTCAGTAAATTCTTTCTGAAGGGCCAGATAATAAATATTTTGGCTTTGCATGCAATACAGTCTATGTTGCAACTATTTAAAATTCTGTCCCTGTAGTATAAAAGAAGACATAAGCAATATGTAAACAAATGAGTGTGGCTAAGTTCCAATAAAACTTTATTTACAAACTCCAGGAACCAACAACCACAAATTTATATTCTACACCATAAATGGCATAATTGAATAATGATAATATAATAATAATAATGTTATTATTAATTAGGGAACAACAAAGACCTTCCTACTTAAAACATGGCACTGGACACATCACAAACCTAGTGTTCCCTGCAACGACTGGGCTGTGAATAAACTAAGTACAATATTTTATTAATTTCCATTTTATTAAAAATCAAATCAAAACGTTTATCAGAGGGACAAGAAGTTTAAGGTAGATTAAAGTTTATTCATATACTGGCTAGTGAAAGATTATTATTTCAAAATCATTAAATATTAAAGCTGTGAGAAACAAGAGAAACCAAGCCACCCCTCTGAGAGAATATTAGCCCTAGGGAGAGCCAGCACTAAGTTCTGGGCTCCCAAACAACTGATACCAGTACCTTCTGAAATAAAAGCAATGAGAGACTTTGTATGTAGAAAATGTTTGATTAGGAGCAAACAACAGGCCATTGCAATTTCTGAAAATGTTAACTATTAATAAATCCAAAAGTTGTTAAAATACCTATCAGAAAAGAAATCATAAGAAGGGATTAAATCAGCCATTGATTGTTCTTCAGAACTGCCACTGATCAAAGTCCAGTTCAGACAGCAAGCCCCAGTGCATCTGTGACATAGTTGAATAACAGGATGAAAGGAAGAACACAGGTCATAATTAATGGATTTCTCACCTAATAGTTACTTTAACAACTTTGACAGAGAAGAATTCATCTTCAGTGTTTGGAATTTAACAGTGCTGGGAACATATTTGACAGAAAAAGTAATGGTAGGGCACTAATCTGTGCTCTGTTAAAAACTGATCCTCAGGAGGCTATGTTTTTTTCAATACAATGGAGTGATTCTTTTTTATTTTTCCAAATTTTTATTTATTAATTTTAGAGAAAAAGGGAGAAAGTAAGAGTAAAACCAATTTTTGTTGTTCTGCTTATTTATGCACTCATTGTTTGATTCTTGAATGTGCCCTGACTGGAGACAGAACCCACAACTTTGGCCTATCAGGACAATGCTCTATCCAACTGAGCTACCTGGCCAGGGCCAAAGGAGTGATTCTAATGGTGAAGGTTTAGACCAAACAGTTAATAATAAGGAAATGGGTAGATAATTTGGGGACCATCTCAGATATATCACCTGGAAAATATAAACTTTGTAAGGGATAAAGCTAAGACCATGCTTAGGACCTGATAAGTTCCAATCGTGGCTCTTTCCATTTTCACTACAAGAACCTCACTAAGTTATTTAAAATCCTTGAACCTCAGTTCACTTTTGGGGATAATAGAACCTGCTTCCAAGGCTCTAAGAATAAAGTTCAACGAGATAATTTATATAGCAAGCTTAGTACGGTACTCAAACTCTAGTAAGCACTAAAACTGAAAAATAAATTACCAGTTTCCACACCTTGAATTCCTTTTCCTAATTATCCCAAATAAAAGCTGTAACATTGAGTCATTCTCCTTGTTAATTAATTTTTTAAATTATACTCCTTTCTACAAAATCCTGAAGCAGCTACCAATTATTTCCTAGTTCATTTAAAAGTCTTGATCTTGCTTTAAATATCACTGATATTTACCTAACTGAATGTTCACTATCCCGTGTAACTGCCAACTTTTCTTTCCCCCACACTGGCCTGCCATCAGCTCCCTTCAGTGTGTTTGCTTTGTTTTTGAGCTGTCTCTAAGGTCAGTGTGCTGCCAAAAATGCTCTTTTCACTTTCTTTCATTTAAATTATACAATCTCTTATATATCACTCACTTAATTTTTACCTTCTCTAGAAGCCCTTCTGAGGAAACCCAGGTAAGAGCAATCTGGCCCTTTCAATTATTCAAATATTTTATTTTTCCATTTCTGATCACAGTATCCTCAACACGCTTCTAATACATCAACAAATGTTTACTAAGTTCCTATTATATGCAAGGGACCATGTATGTACTCTGTGAGGAGCACAAGACAATATAAAACACAAGACTAGAATCAGATCACGGCCTGTATAATTGCAGCTGTTTAACAAATGCTAATTTGTGAGCTGCTAGAGTCCTTGGGGACACAGCTGTTAAGTACAGTTCTGGATTAGAAAGAAATAGACCAGTGGTTGGCAAACTGCGGCCCCTTGAGTGTGGCTCTTCCACAAAATACCACGTGTGGGCTCGCACGTACAGTGCAATTGAAACTTCGTGGCCACACTCAAGGGGCCAAAGAGCCACATGTGGCTCAGGAGCTGCAGTTTGCCGACCACTGAAATAGACCATCTTGATTCTTGGTGCATTGTGGAGGAAAGGGGGGTGGGGGGGATCAGAAGGGAGACATTTATCAAAACCACCTAAGAAGCTTTTGCAGAATAGAATTACCCACTCCTACTCCCTACCTGTAGTATCAGAATGGGGTGGAGTAGGGATGACGCAGATATTACAGCCTGCAAAAGCTCCCAGGTGAATCTGATAATGTCTCCCCTCACACTTTTACCCTGACTGGCCTACTGGCTTAAATTATTTAAACATGACATTATTTTTGATCATTTACAAACCTTTGGAATAGGGCTGACATTTATTTTACTCCTCAAAGTCAAACCTACAAGAATTGAATTGAATGTATCAAACCAATAATTAGCTGTGCATTTCAGAGCTCAGTCGCTGCTGAGAAGCCTGGGCACAGTCCTATAAATGAAATGCATTGGCCATTATCACCTTATCTGTTGTTGTAAAATAAAACCATTTTCTGATAGTCAAAAATAAAATTACCTGTAGCATTAAGACTACTGTTTTCACCACATTCCACTGTGATTTTCTGCCATCCACAATCACGGTAAATCCTCTAGCCTTACACTTTTCACTGAAATGAAACAAAACTACAAAATATTAAAATAAACTTCATATTTTATTCTTCACAATTCTAAATAAAGTTCACATCTTAATTGTATATGGAGCAGCATTAATCTCACTTGGTTTGGTTTACATTGTCAACAAGACTATATCATTTGAGTTTTCTTAAGCAATTTATTTTTCTCGTTTCAAGAAATCAAAGTAACCTTCAGTCTCACTGGTCTCTTAATTTCTTCATCTATAAAATGGGATCACAATGAAGTAGGTAACTAATGACTGCCAAGTGCACACGTAATTCTCGTCTCTTCTTTCTGTCTGGAGTATAAGGTTTGTAAAGTGATACTGTAAAACAGGTAGAAAACGAAGTAAGCTATTACTGAACCATTGGAAATGGGTCTCTTTGTGTTCTTTTGGAGAAAACTAATGAGATGAGGTAGCATTCAGTGTGCCCAGTAATTCAAAGCTTGAATACAGCATCTCTAACCCACCTTTGCTCTCATTTTGCACTCTCCGTCACGTGACCAGCAAAATATTATGTTGTGTGTTGGAAAGTGTTATTGCTATATATTACCTATTACTCAAGAACTTACTAACACTTTCCAGAAGCCTACCCTAGTAAAATGCAACTATATGAAAAAAACTCCATTCTAAAACCAAGCCACATAGCTCTATTATTATTGTTGTTGTTGTTGTTTTACTTATAAAATCAATTGGATGCAGGGATCTCAATTACCTTTCCTCCAATACAGTGGAAAAAACTACCTCTTTGCTTAGCAGAGCAAGGATTTATAGTGAAACCTCTCCCCACTCAAAGTTTTCCCAATTGTGTACATTATAGGAAAGGTAAACAGCAGACCCTTTCCTGAGATTTAAATCCAACAGTTGAGGGGATTTTCCTAATCCTCCCTTAATCCCTCTAAGAATTCACAATAGCCTCAAGGCAGTGGTTCTCAACCTTCCTAATGCCTGGACCCCTTAATACATTTCATGTTGTGGTGACCCCCAACCATAAAATTATTTTCGTTGCTACTTAATAACTGTAATTTTGCTACTGTTATGAATCGTAATGTAAATATCTGATATGCAGGATGTATTTTCATTGTTCGTGACCCACAGGTTGAGAACCGCTACTCAAGAGGGTTCTTGGAGAAGTGATGTCCAATTCTAATGAAAAACAGTAAGATCATAAGAATGATATTGCTAAAGGCAGGAACAGAACCTGAGCTTCCAAAATAAGAGCAAGAAGTATGCAACAGGTGAACAAATTGAATCATATGATCATATAAAAAAACTTGCACACAAATGTTCATAGCAGCATAATTCAAAACAGCTAAAAGCAGAAATAACCCAAATGTCCATCAATTGATAAATGGAAAAACAAAATGTGATAATCCATACAATGAAATATTATTCAACCAGAAAAAAATAAAGTACTGACACATGCTATATAGCATAGATAAACCTAGAAAAGAAGACAGACACAAAAGTCCATGTATTATATGGTTCCATTTATATAAAATATCCAAAATGGGCAAACCCACAGAGACAGAAGAAAGAAAATTAGTGGTTACCATAGGCTGGAAGGAGGGGAGGAAGGGGAGTTCCTGCTAATAGGTATAGGGTTTCTTTGTAGGCTGATGAAAATGTTCTGTAATTACAGTGTGATGGTCACACGACCTTGTGAATATACTGAAACCTGCTAAATGGTACCCTTTTAAAGGGTATGCGAATTTCATGGTATCTGAATTATATCTCAGTAATTATGTATCTCGAATGCTGAAGTGTTCTATTTTTGGATTTTGTATTACAAAATATAGGACCTACTAGTATTGTTGGGGGGGGGTAGCGGGAAGCTGAGGCAATATAATAGTCACTTCTGGATTAGCAACAATACATAAAGACTTACTGGGAAAGCAAATCTGACATCTAATTGCTGGTTATGGGATCAGGTAAGGAGAAAATTCCTGGAGTTCCCTACCAACAAGACATCTAGGAAGAACACGATGACCCAGGGAGGACAAAAGCCCAAGAGAGACCAGCTGGAGAGGGTAGCTGGCTGTTGAGTGGTTTTCACAGAAGTGACAGCAAGTCAGGGACTTCCAATGCATTGTGGGAATTTGCAGGAGGGAGAGCTAAGACACAGACTGCTTAGTAGAGGGCCTTTCCTGGTTGGGACTAGAGCCAAGAGAAGTGAGCCAACCCATAATTTGGTATTTTCTTCTCACTGGCATCTGCATGTCTCAGACACAGGTTATACAACCCATTTTGTTAAAGAAGTTTTACATAGGCTTTTATATTTCAAAGCACACACTAAATTAATCTGTATATTAAGACAAAGAAAGTAATGAAGCTTGCAAATACCATCTGCAGTGATCTTAAGGGCATGAAATATTCCAAATTTATTTTTTGAGGTACTTAAAAACACCCTTAATCATAATTTTGTCACATTTTACTGAAATAGAAAATGAAAACACACACAATCCAAAGACACTATTTCAACTACTTCAAGGAAGAAGGTGTTTTTTTGTTGTTGTTCTTTAACTTCATTCCTACAAGTGGAGTGACAGTTTAAACTGTTTTTAACAACATACATAATTTAGAAGCATGTTATGTTCTTTATAAATGGCATGTTGAAGGAGCTGCAGTGCTATACTAATAAATTCCTATACTACCATTAACATGTTTATATTTTAAGAACAATAACAACAACAACAAAAAACTATTAAAATCCCGCCTCCCTGTTCCTACTCTATTAAGAGCCTTTCGAGGGCGAGGTGACTCCGTTAAACAGGCAGTAAAAGAGAAGAGACTCCTCAACAAGCTCACTCACTCTATTTGCCAAAGGATTTCTGAGCTCAGTGTTCTGTTGCTCTTAAAAATTTCTCTGATTACTATGAAGGGCTCCTTCTCCTCCACTCACAAAGCTCTGCTTATACTTTCATAATGGCACTAATTTCACTCATGCTTTTATTATAATTATTGTTTATAATTTATCTTCATTAGATAATATGCTCCCAAAAAAGCAAGAATATTATCTTACTGATATCTTGGCAGCTTCCAGCACAGTGCTTTAAATACAGAGGCCCTTTAAGAATGGAACATGATTCAATCAGATCACTCCTCAGTCAGAATGCAGCAATGGCTTGCCTTCTCATTCAGAACTTAATGGCCTGCAAGGTCCTCTATGACCTGACTGACTCCAGCCTCTCTCTCTAATCACTCTTCCAGAACTCTATCCCTCTCAAACTGCTCCAGCCACCTTACTGGTCTCACAGGCTGAGCCTGCTTCTGCCTCAGGGCCTTCGCACTTCCTGTTCACTCTGTCTTCGATGTTCTTTCTTAATGCTCTTTCATCAGACAGCTATAGGTCCTTTTCCTCAATTCAATCACATCTGATAAAATCTTACCATTTTGTAAAATATTGACTTACCTACCCTTTCCGAGCCATCTCTCTCTTAACTCTAGTGTTCATAGCCTTCATGAACATCTAATATACTGTGTATTTATTTGTAATATTAGTTTGCCCATTAAGGAATAAGGCTGATAAGGGCAGGGACTGGGTCTGCTTTGTTCACCCATGTCCTCAGTACCTAGAACAATGAGGAGTTCACTGTAGGACCTCATTCATTTACTGAGTGACTAAAGACTTACGACCTTAATGTCTGTGTAATTTTTGGCAAGTCATTAAACCTCTGTGCTCTGATGTTTCTTCTGTAACATAAATGAGTTTTCTACAACTAGGAAGAACCAATTTAAAATCTAAATTTGAATTTTTAAAAAATTCAAAATTTGAGAAAAATGGAACGGTAACTTCTGTAAATGTTGGAGCTCTATAGAATCAGGCATAACCTGGAGACATTTTTCAAAATTCTGATGCCTGGGAGTTGACCTCCAGAGATTCTGATCCAATTGTTTTTGGGAGGCATACTCAAGAAACTTCAGCCCCCAAATATCACCGATGGGAGGAAAAGTTGAGGAGAGGACTTTTTTTGTTTTCCTTGTTGTTGAAATGAAGGATAGGCTCAAACAAATAGAAACGTGTAAGTTTTGTCTTCACCCAAAAAATATAAAAATTAAAAATCCAAAGACCTTTGAATTAAAATATAAATATTTTTTTCATTTTTTAAAACAAGAATGTTTTAAACTCTAAATAGCCTTCACTCAATAAATTAAAATCTGCAGATGTACTTATATCTATATAGTGAGATAACTAAATAAAAGATACTTTCTATTCAACACATTTCTCTAAGTTTTCTCAAGTTGCAATGATAAATAAATACTCAATCTTCATGTTCCTTAAAAGTTGACAGTACATACATTTTGGAAATCTGTATATTATTCAGTGCCTGAAGAGCATAAAAAGAATATTTTATCTGTTGTGGTTTCATAAATTACTGATTCTAGTGTTTTTAATTATAACTTCACTGCTAATAAAAGCAGATAAGATAGCAAAGTATATTTTAACAATAGCAAGAATCATTAGTAAGTGAATGAAGACATATTGAGATTTAAGAAAAGACACCTTAAGAGTCACCTTGGAATGCTGAGTAGATAGTCTAAGGTGACACTCAGCTCATCCATATTTGTCTGTTCCAAGCATAATGGAATTGTCAGAATGAGGCCACTTCGTCTGTCCTTTCCTCCTATTAAAGAAAAAAAAAAGGTAAATTTAACATGTAATAGATATTAAAGCACTAAACAAATAATATATATTTAGATTCAATGCTACTAAAATGATCACAAGTTTAAGACATCAGTAAAAAAAACAACAACTACCTAATGGCTATTTATTTTATACACTGTAAATGTCCATAATAGTATAGCAAAATTATATAAAATTTAGAAAAAAATTCACCCATGAAATTTTCCCTTACACATAGCAATTATCAGTTTAATTTTCTTCTTTCTAGTCTGCTTCTTAATTTAAACAATTTATCAAACACCTATTGTGAGCTCAGCACAATAAGCATTTATAAATAAAATTAAATCAACCTAAGAAAAGCTTTAAGCCATAAGAAATAACAGTATGAAATGTGACAGTTTATTTATTAGGCTGTGTTATAAAAAAGGATTAAAGAAATGGAGAAAATTATAGGAGCTGTGATAAATGTGGAATGTTTCCTAGGACAGACTTAAGAAAATGACAGAATTTATAAACCAAGCCAAAAGAGCATTCTGTGATGAGGACTGATATGAGTTAACGCACAAAGGTCAGCTAGACATTCTTTGTTCATGAGGCAATAAAGAGAAAGTCCCTGCCCAGCTGAGAAGAGTGTATGGGACCTGGATATGTTCAACTCCTATTCAATTTTCCATTAGCATTAAAATGTACTAATACTTTTATACACACAGAGCTTCTTTGAAAGTTCCCCATATAAGAGACTGGACAAAAATCGTGCACCTATGGATGAGGACAGTGGGTGGGGAGTGAGGGCAGAGGGTGGGGCGGGAAGAGTGTATGGGACCTGGATGGGGGGGGGGGGAAGAGGAACAAATGTAATCTGAACAATAAAGATTTAATTAAAATTAAAAAAAAAAAAAGAAAGTTCCCCATATGACTAACTTTTCACTCTGAAGCCCTTCTGATGCAACTGACACTTGTGGCCATTTTAGAAGCCTAAAAACCAGCAGATTCTACTGGAAACTATTCTATATTATCTAAAACAGGGGTGGGAACCTTTTTTCTGTCATTTGTATATTTATAACATCATTACAGGTCATACAAAATTATCAACTTAAAAATTGCCTGCTATATTTAGTCAAACATTTAATTAACTCCCCAATGCCTTGACAGGGCCAAACCAAATGATTTCACGGGTCTTATATGGCCCGCCAGCTGGACGTTCCCCACGCCTGATCTAAAAGGTGTGAACAAGATGACTGCTACGAGCGGCATAAGTGCAATTCTTGATGTACCGAACCATAGAGGATCCTTTTATTAGGTTAGCCATATAAATTACTGATATTCAACCATTTTATTTAACCTCAATAAATGGTAATTTCAAGTGATTCAACTTAATAGATAATCAATTGAGACTTTCAATTGCACATTTTTTTTTGTCTAGAATGTAAGTTTTAAAAAAACAGATTGCATCCATGGTTTTCTAACTCTATTCCCTGAATGATTTTGGTTTTAAAAGTTTTTCTCTATTTTTAAACAAGTTTGAAAATCAAGTGTTAATTTAATGGTTAAAATAATTAATGGTCAATAGAGAAAATCAAGAGGGGTGGGCTAAGAGATGCTTCATTTTCTCCTCAAAAAATGTTAATCTTTATCCCTACATTAATAAGATGGAAGACAAGCTAGAATGCAGGGTATTAAAAAAAAGGTTATCATATCTGGACTGTAGCATGCGGACCCACTGTGGAATTGTCTTCAGAGGACAGGTCTAACATTCAAAACTACATTTAACCTTATGCCCTCAAGCTTTCACTATCAAACAATAAAGCAATCACTGGTACAAACACAAAAGAGGGCAGAAGCTGACAGGAAAAAGACTTTCAAGATAGGTAAGGTCAACAGTCAAATGTTGCACAGAGACAAGTGTCATAAGGAAGCAAAATATCAGTGATAAAGATTATAAAAGAGTAATAATATCCACTCTTGGCAACGGTGTGGAGCAACGGGCATTTTGAAACAATATTGTTAGAGGGCAATCTGACAAAACCTCACACACATTTAAATGTAAATTCTCTTTAGCAGGCCCACTTACAGAAATACACACTACTGAACTGGTACAAAATGCACCAACTATGAATGAAAATGTTTCCTACAACACCTTTCGTATCAGAAAAGAATGGAAAATTGTAAGTGTCAACTGGTAAGGGAAGAGGATTCTTCATAAAAAGGAAATGGATGTTAATAAATAAGGAAACAATAATACTAATAGACAATATCTTATTTGTCCATTATACTACCCTAGAAAAACACGTCAATTTACAGAGAGCTGCAATATGCTTTGAAGTAAAAAGACATTAGTAGCCTAAATATCAAGAAAATTCTGATAGGATCTAAAGAGTAAGAAAGAAAAAGCGAGATAACATAATACAAATAACCCTAAACAGGCTGGCCACAGTAGCTGTTCTAAAGCATGTGCTAATTTACTCAGTGATCCAGAATTCCAGAAAAATCACTACACCCAATGTACTCACCACTGCTCTCACACTGATAAAATATCTCGCAGTTTCTCTCTGACTCTTCTTAGCTGATACAGACATTGCGCTAATAACTGAAGGTAAACCAAGCCTGTATAACCAAGTTCAAACAGCAAAAACTGAAAGCTGTGTAACTGATATTTCATAATTCCCTCAGCACACTGAAACCTTCTCATAGAAAGATGGAAGACAAGCTAGGATGCAGGGTATCATACAAACTAATTACTCTGTTTTAGAAACAATTATTTAGATGCTATTTAGTCAATTATTCTTAGACTGTATCAATTATTTCATTTTCATGTAAGAAGTGAGACATCATGACATCTACCCTGTGGAGATCATTTTACCAAATTACACAACAGATAAAAATTGGCCTGCCAAGAAACAACAGTGACAGATTCGGCTTGCATAGCTATCCATTCTGATTAAAAGATGCCTCAGAAATACCTCTGAAACAAAAATCTCAGAAAAATGAAGTGCATTTCTGTCAAACTTATTAAAAAACAAGTTTATACATCAAAAACTTCCAATTTTAAAGAAGAAAACATACCTGAAAGGAAGGCTAGTTTTTTCTTCAGAATGGGTAATATTACCGAGGCCTCCATTTTACTCCAGTAAACTTCCTCACGTCTGAAAACACAGAAAGTTAAATATCAACCACAAGATGGTAATTACTCCATAAAATATATACTTATGATGGCTTATTCCAGGATTTCCAAATCTCAACATGACATATACTTTGAGTTGTATCATTTATTTATTTTTTGTAAGAAGCTGTCCTGTGCATTGTATGATATTTGGCAGCATTCTCTATTCACTAAAATACCAGAGCACTGCCCGTTTTAGATTGTGACAACCAAAATGTCTCTAAAACACTGTCGAACATTCTCTGGCAGGCAAAGTTACAGCCAGGTGAGAATCACTGTCTTCTCTGTTTTTCAGAACAATACTCTTGGGCTAGAAAAGTGTCTGGTACATTGTAGTAACTCAATAAATTAATCTGTTGAAATTTAAAAAAAATGAATCAATTAATCAAACAGGTAGTCATCTTTCTACTGGTCTCCTTATTAATTATATAACTTAATTCCAAATACCCAATTCTTTCAGTTTCACTATTAAATGGCTTTCTCAGATTTTTCATATTTTTTTTATTTCTCCATAATACATGGTAACACATCTTTCCCTCAAGTTTATTACCTCAAGATATTCCTTAATGCACTGTTTCAATTTTTGCCCCCCACTGACAACTATCTCCAGCTCTCCACATTTTGTATTTTTAAATTATCCAGGGGAAACTATGATTAGCCCAGTAGATCTCTTTGTACCAAGTCATAAGTCAATGTTCTTGGTTTGGTTTTCTAGTGTTCACTTGGCCACTGCCAGGGGTTATGGCTAAATACAAAGAGTCACCATCCATCCAGCAAGGGCTAAGGAACAAGATAGTTTCCCTTAAACGGGAGCTTTAGCATGGCAGGCATCTGAAGGCTTGGCCAGCTCTGTTTACTACCAAAAAAGGATTTCAAGGCAAGTGGGACGTTTAAAACAAGACAAAATAAGAAAATCAAACATTCAACTATATTATCCACCTATATTTAATTTCATGTCTGAGGGAGTATTGTCTATCATATTTTATCCCTCCTTTCCCATTCCTAACTCACACCCACCCACCATTATCACATATAGTAACAGTTCCTTGGAGTACACCATGAAATTGCATTATATTTAGTGAGAGTATACTCTCTCTCTTTTTAAAATATTTTAGCCCCCTTTTTAACTGAGATATAATTGACATATAACATTATATTAGTTTTAGGTGTACAACATATTGATTTAATATTTGTATATAGTGCAAAGTGATCACTACAGTAAGTCTACTTAACATCTGTCACATACAAAGCTACAAAAATTTATTTTCCTGTGATGAGAACATTTAAGATTTACTCTCTTAGCAACTTTCAAATGTGCAATAGGGTATTATTAATTACTAGAGGCCTGGTGCACGAATTCATGCACCAGTGGGGTCCCTCAGCCTGGCTGAGGGATCAGGCCAAAACCAGCTCTCTGACATCCCCTAAGGGGTCCTAGATTGCAAGAGGGTGCAGGCCAGGCCGAGGGATCCCACTGGTGCACAATCGGGGCCAGGGAGGGACGCGGGAGGTTGGCCAGCCAGGGAGGGACCACGGGAGGGCTCCAAGGCGTGTCTGGCCCATCTCGCTCTGTCCTGATCAGCCAGACCCAGCAGCAAGCTAACCTACCAGAGCATCTACCCCCTGGTGGTCAGTGCACATCACAGCAACTAGTTGACCAGTCAACTGTCTGCCTCCTGGTGGTCAGTACACATCATAGCAACTGGTCGACCAGTTGAATGTCTGCCCCCTGGTGGTTAGTGCACATAATAGCAAACAGTTGAGCAGCCTTAGCATATAATTAGCAGATTACACTTTGATGGTTGACCGGATGACCGAACACTTAGTATATTAGGCTTTTATTATATAGGTTAATATCCTATAATATCCAGAAAGCATACTCTGTTAAGAATAATTTTCTAGCAGAGTAGAAAATATGACTCTTCTATATGAAAGCATATTACTTATTCAGCAAATACCTGCTATGAACCTAAGCCATTTTAGGCACTGTGCTATCAACTGGAGCTAAAAACTAAAGTCACAGCCCTGCCCTGAAAAAAAATCCCACTATTAAGGGAAACAACGTAATCAATATTTGTCAGATAATGACAAATAAGGCTATTAAACAAGTATATTATTTTATAGCTTTTGTGTACACAACAACAAAAAAGACCATTATTTGCACTTATATACAAAAAACATACACTATCAAACTAAATACAATATATTCTTATCAAGTTTTATCCTTGAATATTTGTTTGCAATTTATTCATTCGTTTTGTTCTACATCAGCCCAGGCTAACATAAAATTAGTAGAAAGTATAAGGGAAAAGCTTACATTTTACATTAATCTAAAACCAGTAACATTTCATGCTTCCAGATCAGAATCTTGACCTGATGAGTTTGTAATCCAGCTCTACAAGAACCAGACAGCTCAGATTTACATCTATTGGCCCTTCTCCTGTGACCAGCTTGTCAGAGACCAAATTTGAAAAGTTGATAATGATAATAATGATTATGAAGATTAACACTTATTAACTGTTTATAAAAAGGCATGCATTATCCTAAGTGATTTATTTGTATTAACTTATTTAATCCTCACATTTCTATAAGGTAAGTGCTCTTAATATTCCCATTTTACAGAAGAGTTAACTGGAGCTTAGAGAAGTTAAATGCTGCCTAACAACTCACAGCTAGTAGGTGGGGAAGTTAGGATTCACAACCAAGCAATCTGGTTCCCGTAACAATGTTCTCACATCATGCTATCAGCCTACCAATAAAACAGCTCAGAAAATATCCAGTGACTTCTGGCCAAGTGAACAAATGGAGCTCTAGACTATATGCAAAATTAAAATATTTAGAGAATGCATGTGTGTGTATGTGCCACTGCCTTAACTCATGGTAAGGCACCAGCACTTTTGCCCACCATTTCTTTTATATCAAGTGCAAATGCCAACACAGTGAAAAGAGCAAATAATACCTAAGAATTATTATAAAAGTAGTTTGAACTCACAGACCCGTGAAAGCTAGAAACAAAAGAACTGCTTATCTAGGCTGTCAATGGGATACTCCCACAAAGAAATTTTAACTTTGAGGCAATAATGCAGACACAGGAACAACTGTCATAGAAATAGAACTGGCTTCCTAACCAGACTTTTCCTATGATATGAACACAAATTTTGGTTCCTTCTTATTTTCTGAACCTACTTCTCCATCTTTCTCATCAATCCTGAGTTATACAACATCCTTCAAATAAATCCCTTTTCTGCTTAAGTTAGCAATAATCAGGTTCTCTTTTAGTCAGTGGAGAAACTTGATGAGCAAAGGGAACAAAACTACAATTTAGAGTTCAGTAGATAATAAATACAGTCATTTTAATACTTTTTTAAACATATTTTTATTGATTTCAGAGAGAAAAGGAAGAAGGAGAGATATAGAAACATCAATGAAGAGAGTGAATCATTGATCAGCTGCCTCCTGCATGCCCCCTACTGGGGATCGAACCCACAACCCAGGCATGTGCCCTGAGCAGGAATCAAACTGTGACCTCCTGGTTCATAGGTCGATGCTCAATCACTGAGCCACATCAGCCAAGATGAATGCTCCTTTTTTAAAAAAAATCTGTTCCCATTTATTCTGAATGAAATGTTCATCAATACATTGAGGATTTAAGCCTTGCCACATAAAACCCAATTAATCAGCACCCAAGAGAAAGAACATCTGGAATTCCTATGATCCCACAAAGCATAAGAATTGAGAAATGCAGGTGACCCTTGGAATTTGTGTTATCTAAGCTTTGCAAGTCAGGTTATGATTTTATGCCAACAAGTGAACAAATTTTTCACCATTAAGTTCTCCACATACTTAGCGCAAAAAGGGAGATGGTTTCAGTCTTCATTACAGACTTACCCTGGTAAATTATGATATCCAGAAAATATCTTACATTTTACCTCTGTCATCAGCGATAGATACTTTATCCAAACTCTTCATTACTTTACAGAACCACCTCCAAATGGAAAAATACTAAATTGGTGTGGTTTTAATAACTTTTTAAGGAACATCCTGAAAGTGATGAAAAAGTAATCTAATCTAATAAAAGAGGAGCATGCAAATTGACCATACCTCTGCTACACCCACAGCCACTCAGAAGCGAATATGCAAATTAACCCAACTTAGATGGCGGCGGCCACAGAGCTGGAGCGAGCAGGAGGCTTGGGTTGCCCCCAGCAATGGAGGAAGCCAAGGTTCCCGCTGCCCTGAGCTCCGCTCAAGGCTACAAAGTTTCAATTATAGAAGATAAATAAATCCCAGATACCTGCTTCCAGCTGCTGTGGCCTCTGCTCAAGGAGGGGCTGGGAGCCTAGGTTGCCAAGGGCAACCTAGGCTTCCAGCCAGACCAAGGCTACAAAGTTTCAATTATTGAAGATAAATAAATCCCAGATACCTGCTTCCAGCCCGCGGCTGTGGCCAGCCTGAAAAAGGCCCTTGGCCCCTCACCCAGGCTGGCCAGGCACCCCAGCGGGACCCCCACCCTGATCCAGGACACCCTTCAGGGCAAACCAGTCAGCCCCCACCCGTGCACCAGGCCTCTATCCTATAATAAAAGGGTAATATGCAAATTGACCCTAACAGCAGAACGACTCAGAATGACTGGTCACTATGACACACACTGACCACCAGGGGGCAGATGCTCAATGCAGGAGCTTCCCCCTGGTGGTCAGTGCACTCCCACAGGGGGATCTCTGCTCAGCCACAAGCCAGGCTGATAGCTGCCAGCACAGCGGTGGTGGCGGGAGCCTCTCCCGCCTCCTCAGCAGTGCTAAGGATGTCCAACTGCAGCCTAGGCCAGCTCCCTGCTGGCAAGTGGACATCCTCCGAGGGCTCCTGGGCTGCCAGAGGGATGTCTGACTGCCATCTTAGGCCCGATCCCCCGGGGAGCGGGCCTAAGCCAGCAGGTGGACATCCCCTGAGGGGTCCCAGACTGCGAGAGGGCACAGGCCGGGCTGAGGGACCCCCCGAGTGCACAAATTTTTGTGCACCAGGCCTCTAGTTTGAAAAAATGAGATATATAGGGTTTTTAGGGGGGGTGCCAAGATCAAATGAACTGATGGATAAAATGTGAAACAGTCAAGAGATGAAAGCTATAATGATTACTCTTTATACTCCTCACTTCTAGAGTCTCCATTCCATCAATTTCTTTCACTGTTATTATAAAAGAGATGGTAATGAAAAATGATTACCTCTACCAGTAGTTCCAATTAAATTTAGTTTTTCAAAAGTTATTTGTTTCAGATTTTTTTCCAAACATTTAACATAGCCATAAAAAAATAATTTGCCTATCTCTGGTGATATTATATATCTGATAGTAGTTAAAGTAATGTACAAAGCACACACAAAAAGAAAAGTCTGCAAAATATAACCATCCACTAACATCACCAAAATACAATGTTAACAGGAAGGTACCAGGTCATTATTTTTCACAAGAAGAAGTGTATTCAACCTTAAATATATTTGAGTTGAATATATTCGCAAACAAGAAGTGAAGCCAATGACAGACATTTTCTTGATATTAATAAACAGTGGCAAGAAAAACACTTTTTTTTTCAAACCTGCCAGGTGAAGCAGGACAAGAAATGGAAAAATTAAACAATTCACAACATTTACCAAAAACATGTCCTATTTCATATATGGTCATTTAAAATGATTTAAGTCACATTTATTAAATAAGAAGAGGCAGAAAGTCAGTGTATAATAGACGATGCTTTAGAGACTGATGACTATAAAGAAAAATATGCAACCATAACTGCATGTTACCTTCAACTGAAAACAAAAAACACCAAAGCAAATTAGTATTATTCCTAGGTGCAAAATAAATCCTACCTAAAAAACAGAGCCCTTTTACTAAAGTTAGGGATAATGAATTCTAATTACTAGAAATATAGGGAGATTAAGTTTCAACTGATATTTGTATCCATTTTCTTTAAGCATCTTTCCAAGATCTTGCAGAGTTAAAAAGAGGAAAATTGGGGCAACCAAGTAGTTAAATTGGTATCTTGTCTGCCCAACAGCAGAGACCAAGTCTTAAGTTATCTTTGTTCTAGAGGCCCAGTCTGTGCCCTCTGACAATCCGGGACCCCTTGGGGGATGTCTGATAGCCAGTTTCGGCCCGAACCCTACAGGCCCGATCCAAACAGGAGGGAGCCCGATCCCCGCAGGCCCGATCCAGACAGGAGGGAGCTTGATCCCCACAGGCCTGATCCCCAATGCCCGATCCAGACATGAGGGAGCCCAATCCTGTGCGTTGAGCATCTGTCCCCTGGTGGTCACTGTGTCATAGCGACTGGTCAACCAGTCGCTTAGGCTTTTATATATATAGATTTATTCACCAGTTCACTCATTTAACAAATCTACGATAAGTACCATCTAGACCAAGGCAAGGTTAGGTAAGGCATTAAAAAGATATCTGATAAATGGATAGATAAATGAACAAATATATTAAACAAACAGTAAAGCAAAACACTTACCCTATGAATCCTAACATTATCACAACTACCTGGATGTCAACACCTGTGGTGCAATCACAGGATCGCATATACATGATTTTCCTTAAAAGCAGCTCCTCCCAGCTTCTTTCTACTCCGACAGCCTCCCACAGATCCAACAGCTACTTAACTACGGATGCTGGCAAAAGGGAGGCCCATGGATGGTGGTAAGATGGACATCAATGGGTGCTATCAATGGGCAGCCAGTAGAGGGTAGCAGAGGATATGTTGAGCAGCAGAGGATGTGTTGAGCAGCAGGAAAAGAGAATTGCAGGCCTTTTAATAAGACTGGGCAAATTACAATTCATAAGAGACCGTAATTGACGATATGAATGGGTGCACTGGAACTCCTCTCTCAGCAAGTATAAATCAACCAGTTTATTTGGAAAATTTAGTTAGGTTCTTCAAAGAGCATTTATAACAAACAGTGAAAACCCATTAGGATAGCCTAAGGCTAACTAAATCATCTCTAAGTCTATATCATGTAAACACATAATAGCAATGAACAAAATCAGACTGTGGGCTCCTTAACCTTGTATTTCCAGAAGAAATACTGTCCTTAAATTTCAACTGTTGTTATAAAGAGCAATCTCTGAGATTAAAACAAACAAATAAGCACACACACTCAATGTTAATCACTAGTTGCTAAGTAGGTTCTTCACTCTACATATCCATATATATAAAATTACACAGTAATGGGTAAAAGTATTCTTTTTGGGGGTGATGGAAATGTGAGATAAAACTGTGACGATGCTATAAATCTAAAAATCACTGAACTGTACAATTAAAACGGGTGAATCTTATAGCATACTAGA